TATTATTTAGCCGCCTTTTAACTTCTTTTAATACCAGAATTTTGTAGCTGGTGACTTGTTATGCTTGCAAATATTTGTCATGCATTGGCGTTCTCGCTACCCTTTCCCTTCATTGTTATCTTTAATTTAAAGTTAAATAGGTCTACTTAGTTATGATATTGTCGTCTATGTAGGTACAAAAATAAGGCTCGCTTTCACTCCTATTTAAGCAGTATTCGCATTTATGGTATCAGTTTTAGATTGCCCTCTGTGACATCATTGCATGCGACTAAAGAGATACAGCAACGAATAAAATATAAGTCAAGTAAGTTAATATGTAGTACAAATAAGTCATACTTTTTCTTTTCCATATTTCACTGCTTTAAGTATCCCTGAAATTTGTGATAATCGCCTCTTGTTAGGAACCCTAATACTTGGAGGATTGAATGATCAACTTGTACTGCCATGTGGTGCGATTTGTAAACGACAAATTAGACTATGAGAATCTCTTTGAGTTGTTTAAAATGAAAAAATTCAATCGTGCTCGGTTGCTTAATTCCTTCAGATGCTGTTCTTGTAAAGGAATATTCGTCCTCATTTTGGCTGCTTTTTGTGTCCATCTAATTGTTGATCAGTGTCTGTAAGCCTATATGAGCGTTGCGTCTTCTAAGTACTGAGTCCCGTTGATTGGCTGACAGAAGCCCGAACCCTTATAAGTAGTCGGCACTTTCATGTATCTAGCTAGTTGTATGACACATGCCAACTTAGATCACCTTAAACACTTGGAGGTACGTTTGAATGTCAGTGGTCAAGTTCAGAGTGCTTCAGTCTGTCTAGTATTACTATAAGCACGTGCACACCTGATCTCTCCACGATATTTACGTGCAGCATCTCTGTATATTCGATCATCCGTCTCCGTATAATTGTTCGGCATCATCATATAAGCAATTATGAGGTCCAGTGGTGTGTGTTTAGATACAGTTAGGATCACCTATCAGTGAGTGCTGTCACCTTGCAACACAGGCTACGATGGCTAAGGTATGTACTACGAATGTCAATAAAATGGATGCTGTGCCACTCACTGTCTGCTAGCCATACGACTGAGCATGAAAAGCATAATGGTGGTCAACCCATGGCATTGCGTCGTGGGCAATGAAGGATAGTTGTGTGAGGTTAGCATCTACATCGTGTGCATCACGATACGATATCACATATGATCCAACAATTGTAATCAATGGTGAACATGCTGCGACTTATCCTTTCTCTTCATTTTCAAAGGAACATGAAGTAATGCATGCTGTTCGTTAGTACACCTGCCTGTTTTTTATGATCCTTTCCCTTAATTACAGTGCTTCTTTCCCATATATATAAAGTTTCACAGTTCTTTCTGTCTAGCGAATCTTGTGATGCAGACGCACCGACGCACCATACATGTATATTACTGCTTCCATAATTCATACTATCACTATATTACTGTTAAAAATGTAGTTTCAGTTGACGCTAACATACAACCAAACTGGACTTATTGGTTTCTGTTTATTTTTAAAACAGATAAACAATCGATTATCGTTGTTGTTGGTATTATTATTATTATTATACTGTTACATTAGAAAACATAACCTATCTGACCTAGAAAAGTATGTTCATTTCAAGAAGGAAACAATCCAATATGAATAGTGCAAAAAAAATGTTCACCTATCAAACATTAGTAGTATTAGTAGTAGTAGAATAAATAGCAATTTAAACAAAATAACAACATATTTTACAGACGATTAACTGTTGACATTACTAGACATATAATACTGTAAAGTATACACTAAACTATACTATGACGATTGCTTCACTTACTTTCTATGCTCGAAATGAAAATAGTACTAAGCATGATTGTATGTATACACCCACAGGTATATGCATATGTATGTCTAATAAGGAAACCAGGAAGTTTAGATGTTGATGAATGAGAATGCAAAAAGAAAAGAAGAAAATCAGACATAAAATTGTGCAAATGAATATTCACACAAGAAAAAAAACACATGTGAAGACATTTCAACTTTCATTTTTCTTTTCTAGAGAAAAATATCACACAGAAAAGTGAACAAACAAGCAAAAATGGAATATCAGATGGATGAAAACACAATCAACTTAAAGTGTGAAAAGAATAATAATAATAACAATAGCGCTGGTACATTACCACGCTATAGTAGGAGGAGCATTGAGAAAAATTTGTGAAAACAATAAGAAGGAATAAAAACAGAAATGAAAACTTCAGTTAAAAACATTGTAAGCGCATATGTAAAACATATATCATGTGTAAGCGTACATGTTACGTTAGAGCCATTGAAAATAGGAGATATGGAAAAGGCCGACTGACTTTGACCACAAATATTTGCGTCCTGTCTCACGTGCTATGGCAACATAGAAATTAGGCGTACAGTGTTCAGTAAGGAGGGCAAATCAGTCGATAAGGTTGTGAAGTTGATCGACTGAGACGGTTAGGACATGTGTCGCTCATAGTAAGACATCATCGTTCTCTACAGACAATGTTAGCCGACATAGGATAACTTTGGAAAAGAGTTAAGGGTGGTCAAACCAGAACCTGTTACCAGTTCATAAGGTCTTAGACAACTGGTGTAAGGCATGTAGGGATTTGTAGGTTACCTGGTTGTAGTTTCCGGGATTCTAAGACCATTGGTGGTATGGCTTCAAATGGTTTTCAGTAGCGCAGATGAATCCACTCTCTGTGATCCCCCATATCTACTAAAGTGTCACTTTTATCTTTTTTAGTATTCCTTTTGTTTATTATATAGGTTCTTTAAATCGCTTTTTTTCCTGTCATTTTTCTACATTTATGTGATAAGTGGAGTGTGCCAAATTGAACTGCTGCACGTCTGTACAAAGTTCTATGTTGAAACTCAGTCAGTACGTCAGTCACGTTATAATATGTTATTGCTGAATTTGAAAGGGGGAATATGGACCACATTAACCGAGATATTAGTTAGTGAATAAGAACAGGACATATTGTCATCAGATTGGTGTAAATCATTAGTAATCCCAGTCAGTAAAAAAGGAAACAAATCTTCTAGTGGATGACCACGACAAATGTCGTATCTAGGATCCTAGATTCCACATGCATACACAAAAAAGTGTCACATAAAGGAAGTAGCAAGTCACATACAAGGTAGATGACCTGTCCGTAGAGATATAGCTTATTGGTACAGTCATTCGGTTTTTAGACCAATGGGTAACAGTTTGGAGTCCCGTCCCTCCTCCTCTGGGTAGTAACATCAGCCCACATACGATAAGTGTGGCTCTTAGCCTGGTACATGAAAAAATTTGTTCCGGATAAGTGAGATTAGACACAATAGGTAACGTGTTTACTGACACCTACTAGTAGTGTGTATTCATTGTCGTGCAGAAATTTGTCTTTGACAAGCAACATTTGAGTTATTCAGTGATGATTTGGTTTTAAGGGTAAGATGCTGGGCAGATTAATGATTCTAATGTAATTGTTCCTTCTGTTGTTGATATCAATCACACTAAATTCTTTCTTCTTAAATTTGAAGGGAATTCACACTACAGTTTTACCATATGCTAAATCATAAAAATCAGCTCAATAACTTTTCAGCTTCCTCAATAGACCTGCTAAATACAGAGGGAACTAAAACAACACACATCGGTATATAGTAAGAGAATGTCGTCTCATCATTAATGTAAACTAATAACAGAAAATAAATATTACTGTTGGTAGTAAGCTATACGTCACATTGATAAGAAAGAAGTATTACAAGTGGAAATCATGTAACTTTTGGAATTAGATTATGCGCCTACTAAAAAGCCTTTTCCACCTTACGAATAATAACATGAAAGCTTTAGATATAATTTAAAATGTAGTAAATCTAGTAGAAAGTTTTATTTCAAAGTAGTATTCATTATATTTATCCAAAACAACTTGAATTCTATTATACTATGCACAGTGATAACCATTAGGAAGGAATGAGAGACAGATATTAAGCTACCTAAAAACTGTAAATAATGTCTAATGCCTAGTTCATTAAATAACTTATTCGTTAACGAAAGATATCAAATCTTCACACTACCCCCAACGTATGACTAACTTCACCCGTATTGCTTTAGTCTTTGAACAACAATTTTTTGCAGTAAAACAAAGTAGATGTAAATATTGTGCGTCTGTGGTGCAGCGTTAGAAGACTCGCCGACAATGCCTCATGTGGTTCGGGTTCGATCCCCGGCCGACGCACTCCTTTACCTCGCTAAACCAGTAATAGGTCTGGTAAAGAGGGAAAGTTGGGCATGAGGCTAGCAATCCCATCCCATAAAAATGAAACAACTGCTACGGAAACTTCAAAGCTCTAGCTTGGAGTCTTATGTTCCACTGGGAACGTCAAGGAATTATACTATATATTATTATTAGATGTAAATATTAGGAAAGAATTCAATTTCATTTAAAAACCTTATGAAGTTGATATGTATTCTTCTGGGGAGAATGTTTTAATTGTGTAGCTTTCATTATCCTTCACTGTTTCACAACTAAACCATACAACTCAGAGGACACAACGAGAAGACATCCCCCACCTAGGCTATTTCAAAAACTCTAAAAACTTAATCATTTAATTTTTTTTTGAACATAAGCCATGAAAATTAATACAGAAAACTTGAATGATATTGCATTCAGACTAGAGAGTTCATGTACTAGTGGGCGCCAGGATTATGATAAACTCTGAGAATCAAATACCTGTAAAATTTTGTCTCAATTTCAGCTTGAATGCGAATTACACAATTCAACTTCAAATGTGTTAACCACTTTTAAGTACTATTTACTAAAGAAACAATATAAACTTCTAAAGAATGATATTAATAGACCGTGTAATCATTATAATTATTATTCTTTTGCTACACAATATAAAATCCAATCAACACAATAAAAAATTACTTAAAGTAATATGAAATTAAAAATTAAGAAAATATAAAACATTTGCAAGGATTATTATTATTATTTTTACCTTCCATTTTATAACTTCAGCCTCTAAACGAGAACAATTGGCAGCAGCTTCAGCATGAGCATTTTCCAGTTGCCGTTCCATTTCTTCTTTTGTTTTCTTAAAATTGATTTCTTGTAAGGAAAGTTTACTTTCCAATTCACGACATCGCATAGCTTTTCAGAAGAAAAAAAAACAAAACAAACACAATGTGTAAACATGACGGGATGAATTAATAAGGCCTTATAATTTACATAATGAGAAATGAGAAATATTTAAATATACAACTTTAGTCTTAAATATGTTAAGAGATACTCCTTTCATACACTGACATTTTATCGTTTAATTTTAAGTGAAAAATAAGGAATTAAGCGTTTCCATTATGGGTAAAATTTATTTTGATAAAGTCTCACAGTGTTATACAGTAATGTTTACTGATGACGTTTCGAGCACAATTTATTGCTCATAACCATGTCAAGGTAATCACACGACTTCTTAAATTCATTTACATAGTTCTATTGTTTTTCACTTGATTTAATTGGTAGTAATATTTTCCATATTTCAGGTATGAGTGATGAATCATTCCTATTGCATGTGTTGAGTGTCGATTCGATGAACAACGATTCAGTAATCAACCTCTCTCTCCACCTACCTAGATCACTTTTTAGAATTTTAACCCCCTCCACCCACCCTATTGTGTGGTTATGTGGTAATGCATGCATTGCAATTGCTGAGCATTTTTTTAAATTACTTATCTTCTCGGGGTCAACCATTCTTACCTTAGCTAAATTCTTATGGTCTGACAATCTGACTACCCCTGACCTACTAATTTGACCTATGTAGTTGACCTCACAGTCATTGCAGCGTATTTTGTAAATTATATTATTTTGTCTAATTGGGTCAACTGGGTCCTTTAACCTACCTACCTTTAACCTACTACCAATGAAATCAAGTAAAAATCAAGTGAAAAACAACGGAACTATGTAAATGAATTTAGGAAGTCGTGTGATTACCTTGACATGATTATGAGCAATAAATTGTGCTCGAAACTGTATAATTTTCTATAGTTTGGTTTGTAAGGATTAGTTATGTTTAACACTGTGAAACTTTATCAAAACAAAATTTACCCATAATGGAATTACACTCTACCACACTGCACAAGTTTTATTCTTATATCAATTAAGCGTTTCGCTTTACATGCCCATCATTTGGACTAATTTATCAGCATAGACATTTGCACAACAATGCAACAATTCAAGCTGGCACAGTCTGAAGACGAAAGATCGAATGCACACAATTATGATAAGACACAGCTAACCTCTTAACATTTTTCACTATAAACGGCCATAACTCAGAGTGACAGAGAAGGATGGGGCTAACTGTTGCGAAGTACATACCTTCTTCGATTGATAGCCGGAAGTTTAAGCAAGGACTGTGTTATGTATCATAACAATGAAGGTATTCATCATCAGGACACATAGTGCATAGAAAAAACAGGTATTCACAGAATTCACTATCAATATGTCTCATTTTCAAAGGATAAGGTTAGTACAGTGTACTAAAAGAATGCATCATGGCTCGCTCTGATAAAAGCCACAGGTAACATTAAAGTTAGGTGAAATGGATAAGCGAGGTTATATATTAGGAATAATAAAACTCCCAAGATGCGAGTAACTCATGCCTAATAACCTATTACTTTGGTTCGCTAAGTTGGTTAGGAAGTTACTTCATGATAATCTGGGAATCAAGGATAATTAAATTATAACAACAACACTTGCAAGTGGATTTACTGTTCAACATCCAGTTGTGCGTCGGTGGTTCATTGGTACAATGCTCGCTAACCATGAGCACGTGGTCTGGGCCCGATTCCCCGCCAGCACATACCTTTACCTACCCTATCCGGTTGTAAACCCGACAAAAAGGGAAGGTTGGGCATAAGGCTAGCAACCCCAATGATGCTTCTAAACTCTAGCTTGAAGCCCTATGTTCCACTCGGGACGCAAAAGAATTTTTTTAAACATAGTTGTAATCAGACAATCACTGAAACACCTAGCCAAAATTTAGCAAAAAGAAATTAAGTAAAAGAAAAACAAAAACAAGACAAATCATCAAATGTTTAAGACTTACTCGTTTGTTCTAGCTGAAGAGTTAATGAACTAACTTCACTTAAATGCGTATCTGACAATGAAAGTGCATCTTCTAATTGCATTTGTAAGCGAGCCACCTGTGATTCACAATTTGCATGATTAATTTTAGCTTCATTGGAATTACTTTCCTTATCATTATTTACTAATTGATTTATACTTTCACAACTTTTAGTACAATGGTTCTTACTATTAATATCATCGTTGTCTGATTTTTGTTGATGATTATCAGTTGTATTAATATTGCTAACGTGAAGGGAGTCAGCTTTGCCATTAATTAATTCTTTTGATGATGATGGTAAATTTAATCCACTCAGTAAAGCCAGATGATATGGATGAGAGGAAGAAAATGAAAAACCTATCGGAGAAAAAGTATGGGAGGTGAAAAAACATATTTTTCATCAATATATATGGTGAAAAAGTGATATAAGCACAATGACAATGACATTATAAACTGGGGTCTCAATTAAAATAATTCTTTAACTCATAATTTTTGCAGACTGTAATAGGATTTGAGAAGAAAGCAATGAGAAGAGGATAGTGTGATGCGTTCAATTCACTGAGGTAGTACTAGTAAGACACTAAGTACATTGGCAGTTAGACTTCCGGTGTGCATGTCAATCACACACAATCTATATACATGGTTCTCTCGCAAATCCAACATCTATATATTCGTACACTGCTTATGTGCCAATGAATTCCTCTGTGTTGTATTATTTCGTTGCAACCGGTAAATTACATCAGCTAGGATGTAGTAGGGCTAAAACATCAACTTATAAAACTGCACACACTATGGCATATTAAATTATTCAGTAACCTCACTTACGTATAAAATGCAAGATTTAAACTAGTAAATAAAGAAGGTATAAATCAAGAATCACTTGTGAAAAACATTACGACTATCAACTCTACTCGAAAAATATGTTTTTCTATTTCCAAAGAGTTTATTACACTTTAAAAGTTTGTGAAGATAACAGAAGGATTTAGTGTATGTCGAGTGTATTTTCAAACCCAGGTGGGTGTGTACTGATGGAGATTCCCAAACTAGGACGCAACAGCTGTCCAGTACTCCTAGGTTTTCCAGTTGTCGAACTAACCGATGTCAACTCATGATGAAATCATGTGACTTTATGTAAATTATACTTTTGTACTGTTCAGGCTGTGGCCAGGAGAAACTGAGAAATGATAAAGAATGAGCTCATATTTTCCTAGCACATTTGTTATTCTATAATTTTCCAAGTTCATTAATAGAAAGAATTGTTTGATGTTATATTTTTTTTACAAAGTTTCATGTACCAAACATCTTCACTGCACTTAACCTGCATCGTCTTCAACTCAATATGCATACATATTTTTTCAAGCACTTACATATCGATTATGTAAGTATTGACAATAGTATCTGAGTACGCAAGTTCCACTACCGGCTGAACCTGAAACTCACCTATTTTAATAAAAGACAGTAGGCCTGGGGAACAGATAAGGATAGCTCTACAGTACGCTACCACACCCTGTAAAAAAAATACTGCTACAGGAACTTCAAAGCTTGAAGCCCTTTGTTTCACTTGGAACTCAAAAGGAATGAAAGAATTTGGAAGATAATAGGGTTTATAAAGCCTTACTGTTTAGAAACCAGCTCAGCATTTACCATTACAGATGTAAATATCGATATGAAATAATCTGTTGAACTTACAAAGTGCTATTAAACAACAACTATTTGATGGATAAATGCTTAAGAATAAAATAAAAGAAATTTGAAAGAAATTCTCGAACAGTTAAAGGTAATTCTAAACTCTACTGCAGACAACAGAAGCTTGAAGAATGCTTTAATTAGAATATAAATAGCCTACACCGTAAATGCTGTTCAAAATATATAACCAGTTACTTCATTGAGATTCCATTCGAAATGTCTCATCAACAAATCTTTTCTTTAAATCAGATTCAGATTATAAAACGCTCACTGTAAAGTTTGTAAATTCTGTTAGCAAACCTAAAGTAGAACGAGACGTATATTCTGGATCATGGTAGTGACTCCTACAGTTTTAGATATCACAATTTACGGATATAAAGAAAGAAGAAAATCAATTACCTGCAAAAACAAGTTGACTTCCTGGAATATCCAACATGTGTTCAGAAAAACGACCGGAATACTTATGGTCACTAGACGATGACTCAGGAAAATCACCTTTAACCATTTCTTTAGGCTTCACATTGTTATTTTCATCTTTCAACTGAGCATTTTGATTCTCATATTCATCATCCTCTTCATCTGTCTCTGGTTGAAAATGGGATGTGTCTGTATCGCTAGTTAAATGTGGCTGAAAAGGTGCCCGACAAGCACGAATATTTGACCAGGTCCAATCAGCAATCGAAGCGTCCATAGAATCCACATTGCCATCGGTCTGTTGTGAATGAATCCAGTCGACGGAGAACCAAGGATGGTTGTACACTTCATCTAAAGTGCGACTTTGACTCCCTAATCTGGTACTGCGGTCGCATAAAAGATCTTAAATAAAGTATAAAATGAATCAGTTAGAGTAAGCATATACTTTTTAGAAAACATACACTGTATGCATAAAATGCTGATACCATTTAGAATGGTAATTTTACTCATCCGTGTTTCTTACAATTTATATTCGCAATTTTATATTAAAGAGTCTGGATAAAAAGGGATTTATGAAATTTACTTGACACATATTTTTCTCACAATCTAGTAGATAAAAAGGGTTAACTATATCGTGAATGCACAGTTAAACACATTTAAATGATTGTTATATATATAAGCAGTTGATTATGATTCGGATGTATGGGTAAATCACAGGCGAATTTATCTTCATTTCAATAACACCTTGGTCGTATGACAGTGCATGCTACACAAAGAACAAACGAAAAGCTCTTTCACTTTCATGTAAGCAAAATATGAAGAAGTGACTGAGAGTTGAATTCAGATTTTCGAAAATTTCACTCTCTGATTGCAAGATGACGTATAAAGCTTATATCTTAACTGAGTAGAAATGATATCTTAATCAGACAGATACACATAACGGCTGTGCATCAGTCTAAGTAACGACACAGAACGGCAGTACAAAAGAAGAGAATACATTGAAGACATATTGGAAAGAAAAACGTAAGATTAACAAGACGAATGAAGTTATGTATGGATACAGTACACAAAAGTTGGCATTTAAGACGCTGTTATCAATTCTAGCATCTTAAAACTGATTTTTAATATCTTGTGAATTATACAAGCAACTGAACGACAGTACTCAAGAAGAACTGTTCTTGAGAGTATTAAATATATTACACTGTTTAGCCACACCAGGAATGTACACAGCTACTAGTTGAAGATGAGTGTAGTATTAGGCACCTAAGAGTGACAGCATACAACCAGTTTCAACTACTGTTAATGTAGAATTTGGGCAGTGTAGTAGAATTCAATTCCAAGTTAGATACAGTATTTATTGTTTCTGAGCATTAAACTGTGCTCGAAACGTCGTCCGCTTATCAATAATGTGTCAAATCAAATAAACGTATCTGACATGATATCACCACTGTTCTCAATGCAGAGTTGCCAATCTCTCAATATCTCTTTAACTCTGCTATTAGTGACATTCTCTGAAGACAGCTCTGAAAAGAGGGGAATGTGCTCGTCGGAGAAAAACTTCTCCAAACGATATTATATTACTGTGCCATAAAGTGCAGTCGAACTAAATAGCACTTAACCAGCTGGCGATCAGTGTCTATACCTATCGTATGTGCTTTGCGCTGTTTTGTTGCGAGATTGGCAAGAGCCTGCAGCTACACACGCGTCAGAATGGCCATCAAAGGCTAGATTTACAAGGTTCCGGTTCACACAGTCTTGCTCTTGGCCTGTGAAACACGGCATCTCTGAGCTGACAAAATTCGGTGACTCCGAATATTCGATCATCGCTGCCTCTGTAGAACTGATTACGTCCGGAAGTGTGTATGGACACAATGGAGGTCATCTTTTATTGAGTGTCATTACCTAGAAACATCAACTTTGGTGGCTTGGACATGCCTATAAATGTCATCCAATTGGATCTCGTGCCATTCACTATCTGCTAGCGCTGTGACTGAGTGGAATAAGTATAAGGGTGGTCAGTTCATAACGTGACACCTCGGGATGAATGATAGTTGTGTCACGTTAGCATCTGTTGGTGCATCACGACTCCATGGGTGTGGTTCGAGAGATAATAAGAATCAATGACTCAAATCATCATCAGATATAGCCAACGATCGTAATAAACGGCGAACATGCTTCGATTTCCTCCTTTCTCCCTTTTCTGAAAGTAACATGAAGTAATGAAAGATGATTGATGTGACAAGTATGCTTACTTGCTTTCTGGATGGCTTGCCTTATTCATTCCATCCCTATTTTCCTGATATATATGGTTGTTTAATTATTTTTGTGTGGTTCATCTCTTGGTATCCACACTGTCACAAGTCTGTGACTTAGTCAAGAAAGTGAAGTCTGCAGTGAGCTTATCAATCGTTGCTGGATAAATCCTGTGAGTTGTGTAGTATAAAACTTAAACAATCGCATTAGTCTACTCAGGTGATTAGGCTAACACAGTATACTGCAAGAGAGTTTCACTTAGTTCATATTGCTTCATCATTGTTTTCAAAACCAAAAAAAAAAAAACATTATCATAAAATAATGAGAAAAAATACATGAATACAATCAGTTATATCACTATTCACTCAATCATGATGTCTACTACTTAGTCAAGTAAAGAACACAAAAAATAGGCGAACTTTTGTACCAGATTATGGACTGTTGTTAACTGAACCCTAATGTGTAGAAAAGGGATTGAATTAATCAAAGGCAATAGCATATATACTTACATTCTTTTCAGTATTATAATATACTCTGCTCATGTGATGGTAGCCTTAAGGTGCAAATAATTTTCAATTACTAGCTGAAGTATACACGATCAGCTGATTAACATTAATACTAATAGCTCATAAGTACACACGACTAAAGAATAAAACTGTAAGCCAGAATTCAGTGAATAAAGGTAACTATTTTTTTTTAAAGTATATAGGCTACATATAAATATTTTTTGTTGAGCAAAATTTTCAATCTCTTTTTCTCTCTTATTTGTACTCATCAAATTTGCATACTTATTTTGATCCTTATTTATCTGGATACACTAAAGGCAAAATTATGAAAACATAATTTAACTATAAAACTTGATGTTGTTCTAAGGTAAATAAATAAATGACAAGTAATCCAGTTTGATTAGTGAAAATGTTATATAATCCAACAGAGAAGAATTGTGTACAAGGGGAGTGAGATCAGTTCGAGAAGAAAAGTAGATTAGAGAAGTGATCTATTGGCTTAACTTCTTTTTTCTTTTTTACCTAATAATAATAATTGCCCTCGATACTAGATATTTTCAGCTATTGGGGGAAAATACGACCCATCTTGCGCAAATTATTGCTTCCATCTAAATTTATATTATAGTTTCATAGACATCTAAAAGTATTATATAGTGCGTCGGTGGCACAGCGGTAGAATGCTCGCCAACCAATTATGTGGTTCGGGGTTCAACCCCCGGCCAACACACCCCTTTATCTCAATAAGCAAGGAATAAGACTGGTAAAGAGGGAAAGTTGGCCATGAGGCTAGCAACTCCATCCAGTAAAAATAAGCACCACTGCCGAGTAAACTTTAAAGCTCTAGCTTGAAGCCCTATGTTCCACTGGGAACGTAAAGGAATACAATGAATAACAATAATAAGTATTTTATATGAAAAAATAAAGGAATAATATGACAGCTGATTGTCGTAATAAAAGTGAAATTATGCTGCTACAACTAAACATCTAACTCATTCAAATGATTTGATTCAGTTCATATGTGTCGCCAAGACAGATTAGGACATTTTATCCAGACTGACTAGTAACAACATAGTCTACTACAAGAGTGTTCCACTTAGCTTAGTAAGATAGTACTAAAAAAAGTGATAAGTAGACAGATTCACATCAATTTTAAGCATGATTTAATCTAATAGTTATGTTAGAAATTGGGCGCCAAGTAGGAGTACGCAAAAAAACATTCCTTGTTTTAATGAACTGGTCATCTACAAGATGTGAAATATTTTAAATAACTTGAAAATCCCCATTCAGTCATATAAAAGAAAAGAGGGCGTTCAGCAAAGAGACTCTTTTCGGCGAATTCATTCCAATATTTTAAAAGCTATACGACCTCATAAAACAAATAAGGCTACTTGAGAGAAACAGTGAAACTCTCAAAGCGAGAAAATATAAGATGAAGTAAAACCGAGGTTATTCAACGCAAATCAAATAAGAACTGATCTGTGAATGTTAATATAACACACACACACACAAAAAAAAGATTTTATCAGATATAAGCATCAACGGTTCAAAGCACTAAAGACACATCAAATAGAAGGAGCACAAAATGAATCAAAATGCAGACAGAAATCAGACGTCAATCAATCAAAGCAATCTTTACTTTTCACCCCCAACATACTTCGAAAGCCTCGCCAACAAAACTCAGCTTGAAAAGTAGTAAAACTATTAGAATATCTATCGAGTGAACAATAGATATGCAGTCGAACTTAACTATTAAGCTCCTGTAACATATTCAGTTCAATAGGTACTAATACGCAGAAGTCTTGAGCTGTTATTTGTCAGATGTTGCTTATTTCAACGAGTTTTTTTTTTATATTTGAATACACAGTTTTACTAGATCATTTAAATTATGCTTGCATAGGTAGCTGCTGACTTGTATTCCAACAAATACAACCTTACTATTGAAAATGAGCTAACTACATAACGAATATTAATTATTCAAATGTTAAATTTCTAGAGATTTGATTAGTTTCAATAGGAACTTTCTCACAAACTAACACCAGTTAAAAGAATCATTAAGAAGAAAAAAACAAGATGCACTGAATACCAAACTTCTCTAACTTTAAGACTCTATAACAGCGATAAACAACGACTCAAAGAAGAAACGAGCGGAAAACTGTCAAATTACTGGATGAACATGTTATCAATCATTGATCTGCTGCTTTTCGACTTATTATTAGTACCAAACAGGTGTTAAGCATGACAACTAGAAGTGCGACATAGTAAATGCAAGTTTTATAGTGATAATGTTTATCTTATTGTGTGCTTGTTCATAAAATAAAAGCTTCATATCCACAGATTCTACTGAACTCGTTATTATTTCAATACTGAGATACAAACAACAATCAATCAATCATGCATAGAGTAACAGTGGGATCAACTAAACAAACTTTTCAAATGATGAACATACACATCCCACAAAGGGTAACAATTAAGAAGAAGCAAATATATATGAAAACCTCTACATATTGCCATATTGCCAAGTGCTCAATGTGTGTGTGTGTGCAATGTTGGAGACAGCAGATTATTGCGCTCACAACTACTCAAACATGAGAAAAATGAACCATTTAAAAGTATAACTGACTGACTCGTTTCAACATAGAACTTTGCACCGATGTACAGCAGTTCGAGTCGCCACACTTCCCTTAGCACACAAAGCAAGTGAAGAGAGTAAAAAGAGATTCAAAAGACCGATAGCTGCTACCTTGACGTGTTGGTTGGGCTTGCACATCGCAATGACCCGACAAGCAACACTGACTGGAACTACTGTTCCTGTAGGTCCTGCTATGCAAGGAAGGTTGTTAGGATAGCGATTAGACTAAAAGCGGTTACCGGCATAGTGAAAGAATTTTTTGTTTTACACTATGCTGGGGGTCTGTGGTCAAAGTCGAACTGTTGGAGAACAGGGATGTAACAGCAGTAGGGTGTTTCCGGTAGATGACCAGCATGCTGTCTCTCCACTTTGGAGAGATGGGGTTAGAAAAGGTAGACCGCAACAATTTTACATCCGGACTTACCCAAGGGTTGTCAGCAACTGGTGGTAAGTTTACTGATACAGAACCAATCCGAAAACCAGTTCATACAAGCCGTGTGTGAGCGGCCACAAGCAGTTGTCCCCTGGGCTCTGCGGTCAGGCAACACTAAATCTCTTTCTGTTCCAAGTACCCGAAGAATCAATCAACTTCCACGGTGTGGGCAGCCGGGATGTAACAACCGCCCACACACTCCCAAAATAACACGAAGCCCTCCTAAGGAACATCATTCTCCTTTACCCACATTAAAAAGTATAAAGCCATATTGGATTTACCGATTGACGCATTTTTGTGACTACTTAAAATTTCGCCAGTCCTCATATAACCAAACAAAAAGTTGACACTTTCTACAAGAACTCGAGTAGGCTTAAAAAGTTAAATAGATATAAGCTGAAAACAATAGCACAGGTAGAAAGTGAAACAGCATGTAAGAAAATGACTTACTTTTCATAAAATCTAAACAAGAGTCAGAAACACTGACATTTTCAGGGAATTTTAAATAAGTTTCATGATTCATAATATGTGCATAAGTATTCACTAGTGTTTCTGAATAAAATGGTGTAACACCATAAAGCATTTCATATATTACTACACCTAACGCCCACCAATCAACTTCAAATCCATAACTTCCACCACCGATACCCTGAAGAAAACAAAAAGAAAAAACAACAAATAATGCCATTAACAGTAAAAAAAAAAATTGGTAGAAACAGGCAACGAGAAGAGCAAACGAAAAAGGAAATATGAAAAATAAATTATTTATTGCCTTCAGACAAAAATTCGTTACCCACTTGGAACAACCTTTTGCTACTCTTGATCGAGACTTATTGGGAATTTATATATATATATAATCAATAGTATTCAACCATTATGGATAAGATTTTATTTTGATAAATCACAGTCATATGAAAAAGAGAAGACATTCAGCGAAGAGACTCTTTTCGGCGAATTCATTCACATAGCTGTACAGTCGCATTTATATATAATTATTTGTGTGTGTGTGTGTGTACATGAGGTTTGTCAAGTTTAGATAATTGATTAGTTAATGCAAGAATGATGTAGTATAGAGAAAAAGTTAATCAGACAGCAACTAAAGTAAGATTGAGTTAGTAAGCTAGATGACGTCATATAATTGACTAAAATGTTACAACTTAGGTCAGGATAGCAACAGAGGTAATTACAGGTAGAGATTAAGTAGAAGTGGAATTGAGTGAATAAGTTGGATGACGTAACATAAAGGACTAGAAACTGAGCGATGTTCAAGTCAGTAACAGTGGTAGTGAGGTGTAGAAATTGAATTGGGGTGGGGGTAGAGAACAAGAAAGTTGAAAATGTAAAATATTACAATTGAGAAGGCAAAATAATACTAATGAAGAGACAGAAGAAAAGATTAGGTAGAATTTACTTGTCGGCTAATAAGATGGATTACGTCCATTGTAAGTGTAGTGATTGAACGAACTTCTTCTGTATGCAGAGTTCAGGACTTAGCAAGTGAATTGCCATTGCTTCTGCAGTATGAAGAAGTCTGATTCGTACACCTTTAGGGAGACTACTTTTTACTCTGTAGACGACTTTGAAGTGTTACACAGTAATATTAACTGATGACGTTTCGAGCACAAATTATTGCTCATAATCATATCAAGTTACTCACACAACTTTTTCCTTCATTTATATATATATATATATATATAAAGTTGTGTGAGTAACTTGATATGATTATGAGCAATAATTTGTGCTCGAAACGTCATCAGTTAATATTACTGTGTAACAAAAAACTGTGTGATTTATCAAAATAAAATTTTATCCATAATGGAGTTATGCTCCACCACAGTGCCCAAGTTTTATACCTATATCAATAGGGCTTCATGCTTTGAAGTTTCATAAGTAGTGGTGTTGTGGCTTTTTACTGGGTGGGGTTGCTACTCTCACACTTAACCATCCCTGGTTGACTGGCAGCGACACGGGGTCTAAACAGTGAGTCAACTAGGAATCAAGCCGGGACCTCCTGCCTGGCTGAAGGGCCCTTAACAATCGGACTGCTGACATATATATGTATTCCCGTTAATACATATCATTTATTATAAACCAGAACACAATGAATTCATACATATTTTTAAGTATAATTAACCAAATGTCTAAGTTTAAATTAACCTAGAGTTCTGTTTATAGACTATGATAAAATGATCGTTTATTTATTTTACAATTCAATTAAGGTATTATGAGAACGCTTCATTATTTTGAGAAAGATTAAAACAATGCAGAGTGAAACCATTAATTTAAGACAGAGTTCATACAAAAGATACGGAGTCATTCATACCAATTTCTGAAAATGATGATTGGGACAACAATTTACAATGCAAAAAAAGCACATATTAGTGACTAAAAATTAGTAATAATATTACAAAATAAATAACACTTGATAAAACAAGAATAATACCCGAAAGTACAATAACCGACTACAATTGACAGAATATGCGGAATGATTACAAGACATTCCCAACACATTCTAAGATATTGTATAAAAATGCACCGATAGATATTAAAAGAATTCGTATAAAAATACTCTAACTGATAGATGAAAAATAAGAATTTCTAAATTAGCAGATTGTTTCATTTGCAGTTTTACAATACATAGTGAATGAAAAAAAGCGATGACAATAAAAATCAACGGAATACACTAGATAAGGTGATAAACTGACTCAAATATTAAACAAATATAATGATAAGGTCTGGAGGACTTCATCATGAGCTGACGTCAGTTTGAGTGACATTGGAAAACCTGGAAGTACTGGACAGTTGTGATTGTACACTTCTAAATAATTTCAAACGGGTGGAAATCAGCCTTTTAGTTGGTATTCAACCGCTTCTATTCTTATGTTAGTTCTCAATGAATACTACAATGAATTTACTTAATTTTTACGGGGAGACGACGGTGAAAAGGATGCTATACCACAATAAGTCGACATTCGTCATGTTTATTCGATGAAACGTAATATGACACCGTATCATTTACTGTGTAGAGTTTTAGGTATAATGCATTGCCTATGAACACATCAAGAACATTCAGTAAATAATACTGTATCGCATCGGTGTTACATCAAACCAACACAATTAATGTAGGATTACATTTTAACAAAGTGGTCATATTTTGTAAAAGAATGCTTGAGAAAGAAAGGCTCGAATCTTACCACAATTTCTGCTCGAAATGACTGTAATTTAAGCTGGAACAGTAATATCACCTAGCATTATACACCAGTGTCTACACACGTACCGAAATTAAAAGAAATCCGTTAGCATCAGACTAGTGAATATCAGAGGAATCTAGAACTCTTGTTTCATTCAATACAAAGCTTACTAAAGAGAAGTGGAACTACTATTACGATAATTGGTATGATAAATTCACTGCTTAAAATAATAGCAGTAGTGTCCGTCAGTGTAATCATTACAGTCCTATAGGCAGTCAGAATAGCTCAGTGGTAACGTCTCTGACATTACTTCCTTCAAGATTCCACAACCGCTTTGTTGATGAGTGCCGATAGGCGCGAAATCCAGGTCGAAAACTGCCTTACGATTGCTTTCAACCACTTAACTTCAATCTATTATCAGTTAAAACAAAACAAGAAGTGATGAAGACTGGGGGTAAAGATTCATGTTTTTCTAAAATACTATGCATATAATAAACAGAAAAGGAATATTGATCGGATTCACTGTCAGCATGCATTCACCAAAAATATAATAAGTTAAGCTTGCGATTTTTTCCCGTCATTCACTTTTTCTCTTAGTAAATTTTTTTTTATAATTCTAGTATAACATTTCTATCATACAAGTACACAATAACCTCAAAACTTTTTGAAAAAAGTATAAAAATGAATAGAAGTGCATAATCATTTAGAGATACGTTTAGGAATGAATGCCTAGGTGATTAAATGTAGGAAAGAGAATTCCATTTCTTTGTCTACTAATGTTTATACTGTACATGTATGCGTGCATATCTTTAGGTAGGCACGTGTCTCCTATTATCAAACGATAACATGTGGAAAGAGGTTATTTACATACATTTCGAAACATAGAGGGAATAATAATAATAATAATGAACTGTAACAGCAACAATAACAAAACCACTTATATATATATATATATATATATATGTATTACGAATAAGTAAACAAGTTAAAGTGCAAGGTAACTGACGTTTGTATTTCAACTCTTTTCCCCATAGGAAATAATAAGACACAAAAATGAAATAGATGATTACAACGAACAGTTTCAGATCATCTTTTCTATTTTCTCCTACAGTGTCTTTCTTGAAGAATAAGGTGTGCACATTTGTGTGTGTGTGTGTGTGTGCAGGAGAGGGCGGAAAAGACAAGAATGGATCGAGAAGTTGGAAAAATACCATAAAACAATAATATTTTGATAAAAACTGTAATCCTATATATACATATATATATGCGCAGTGCTGAAGAGTCCCAAACTAGGACGAAAGAGATGTCCAGTACTCCCTGTCGGTTTTCCAATAGTTATCTAACTGATGTCAGCTCATGATGAAATCCTCCAATCAGTCAAACAATAGCCCTGTAAAACCAATACTCCAAAAAATTATCTTTGATTGCAGTTTTGATTACGTTGCCAATATGAAAAAAACTTATACAGAATTCATCGTTCTACATTACTCGTATTATTATAAGCTTATAAATTATTATATGCTTATATTAAAATCTACAAATCTGGTATTATAATAAAATGTATAATGCAACTCAGTTAGTACATGAAGATTACAGTATTAGGCTATTAAACACATTTATTGTGTTAACGGCATTACCCGACTTTCGTGAAGCATAAGTGACAAATGGTGCAGCTCCAGCACCCCACTTCCAACCGACGGATCCCAGGTTCTAATCCCAACCTACGTAATTCAGTCTGGACAAGTAAACAGTATTATCATCCCATATAGGCTGACACACCGGACATCTGTTCTGGGTAGCTAAGTTTTTAACTAAACAACTGATGAAACATAGTTTGGAGGAAGGAGTCGCTAATTGAAAGTCAAGTATCTGCTCCAATATATGACTTGATACGGCTGAGAGTGGGTAAACTCTGATCTTACTCTCAAAATGCTTTCATGTGGTCACGCATTTGCCCGCCTATGCCAGATAATGCATATTCACTGCATTGCCGCGTCTTCACGAAAGTGAATGGGTGAGTGTGACTGATGGACATGGGGGTCATCACAGGAGAGGTGAAAACCCTGATAGGAGACCTATGATGCAAATGGGGTCAAAATCTGAAAAAATCGAATGGACACCGGTTACTAATGATATGGTGAGAGCTGTCTGCTAGCCGAAATTGATAGACAGAAATTTAAGTCAATGTTTACGTCACAAATCTTGGTCACGAGAAAAACAAGAACAAAGACTTTGCGTGGGCGGATACAATTCGCAGATATATGGTTTGATTTTCAAAGAAACGGCCACAAAGAGGTGACAGAATAACTGTCAGGGATAAAACGACCAATCAGAAGACGCTGTTTCTCTGATTATAATAACGAATAATAATGTACATAAAAATATATAAATATCTGTTGACTTTCTCAATAAACGATCTGTTGCCTGACCCTTGTCTTGTGTCGTTACAAGGGAGCAC